CCAGTCTGGGATTTGAGGGTTCCATGATTTGCTCGTGTACCTCGCTGTGCTCCAGGGAGGTGTTGTGGCTCAGGAACACACGTGTCTCCAGCACCCTGTGGTGTCACAGGCAGCCACCCAAAAAGAGAAGATACTTTACTGAAGGGTTCTGTAGAGAAGCAGAAGGTTCTTCACTGTAACACTCAGGGGTTTTCACAGGCTCCTGCTGCCCCAGGGGCCTGACACAAACAGAGCTGTCTGGGGTGTGTCTCACTGCAGGTGTGACACTTCTCCAGAGCAATTCCACAACGAGACTGGGCTCTCTGAAAAATAAATTGTTACTCAAAATGCGGTGATACCACTCACAGCAGGCAGCACAAGATGCCTTGAGCTTTGTGGGCATCTCACACCTGACAGCCCGAGGTGAAGCTTTGTGTTCTGACAGTCTCTTCAGGGACAGGGCACGGCTGGAAAACCTGCTTGGCAGCGAGTGCCATCCGTGCCTTCTGTGTGTGTGCTGTATTCCAGGTATTCCTGGGAATGCAGTGAGTGACCAGGGCAGGCAAACCCACTGGTGCAGATCCACGTGGGCACGTGGGTTTGTTTTCTCTCAGTGTTAATTTGGAATTGCTGTTGCTGAGCCAAAAGTGCTGGGCTGTGGGGTGGGGTGAACCTGTTCGAATGCTGGGCTGTGGGGTGAACCTGTTCAAAATTCACCTGCTGGGTTTGTGCTGCTTTTCTGTGAATCCACCTCTGTTTCTGCTTCCACAGTGCCTCATTGATCCTTAAATCCATAGAATCATTGAATCCCAGACTGGTTTAAGTGGGAAGGGTCCCCTGCCCGTGGCAGAGGGTGGAAATGGATGATCTTTGAAGTGCCTTCCAACCCAAACCAGTCTGTGATTACCCAGAGACGTTTCTGTGCTCCTCAAAGCGTGTTTTAGTGACTTCACTCCAAGTTTTTCATGTGATACATCTGGATCCCATTAGCTGTTTCAAATTGGGTTATTTTAAGCTTAAGACTGCTCACAGTTGGAGGGGGGGATTGTATTTTTAGTTCAACTCAACTGTGCTGTCAGCCCAACCGAGTAAAGGGCAGCTTTTCACTCTGGATGTGTCACTGAGCAGACGAGCCCGTGGTCACACCCAGCCCCTTGAGCAGGACCTTGGGATGCCCCAGCCCTGGAAGTGTCCAAGGCCAGGTTGGATGGGGCTTGGAGTAGCCTGGGCTGGTGGGAGGTGTCCCTGCCCGTGGCAGGGGGTGGGATGGGATGAGCTTTGAGGTCCCTTCCCACCCAAACCATCCCTGGATTCTGTGAAGTTGCAGTGATGTGATTTTCAGGAGGGACTGATCCAACATTGATCTCTCAGCATACAGGAAACCTTCAGGAGATGAGGAATCAGGCAGAGCACTGGCCTTGGGATGGAGCCAGGATTTGGGGGAAGTGCATGAGGTGCTGTTAAAGCAGAATTCAGAATTCAGCAGCCCAGTCGTGTGCTGGGTGGTGACAGCAGGGGGTTGTGGTGGGCTCTGGGTATGGGGATCTTCCTTCCACCATTGCCTTTGGATGTGACACCTCCAGGGATGGGGCCTCCAACACTGCCCTGGGCAGCTGTGCCAGGGCTGGACAGCCCTTTCCAGGAAGGAATTGTTCCCAATATCCCACCTACCTCTCCCCTTCCTGAATCCCATGGGATTTTGTTGATGTGTGTGGCCAGCACTGAGGTTTGTGGGACAAGGTGAACCCTCTGTGAGAATGTTACACACTTGGTCTTTCCCTCTGTGCACACCCTCGTCATTCCAGAGAAGGGAACGGAGCTGGGAAGGGGCTGGAGCAGCAGGAGGGGCTGAGGGAGCTGGGGGGGCTCAGCCTGGAGAAAAGGAGGCTCAGGGGGGACCTTCTGGCTCTGCAATCCCTGACAGGAGGGGGGAGCTGGGGGGGAGTCGGGCTCTGCTCCCAGGGAACAGGGCCAGGAGGAGAGGGAACGGCCTCCAGCTGGGCCAGGGGAGGGGCAGGGGGGACATCAGGAGGAATTTGTCCCTGGAAAGGGTGGTCAGGCACTGGCAGGGGCTGCCCAGGGAGGTTTGGAGTGCCCAGCCCTGGAGGTGTCCCAGGCAAGGCACTCAGTGCTCTGGGCTGGGGGACTCTGTGGGGTCTTGGAGGGCTTTCCCCACCTCAGGGATTCTGGGGTTCTGAAATCTCCCTGCCATTCTCACCCAGTGGCCATAATGGTCCCTCCTGGTGACACAGCTCACTCAGATTCCTGCAGGTTCCTTGAGGATCTCGGGATTTTCCTCCAGAAATGTACTTACCCTTTTTTGATGTTTTTCTCTATATTTTTGGTCTTTTGTTCTCTGGGTTCCGGTTCTCTATATTCTCACAGAATTCTCTCCAACTGTAACCAAACCAAACCTCTCCCATTTTCCTGTTCCCAGCCTGTCCCAGCTCCAGCTGTTCCCTGTTGCTCCATGACCCTGCAGTTTTGCCCATTTCTTGCCCGATTACCCCGTTATTCCGTTCTTTGCCTTCTGTCCCATCCAGTGTCAGTTATGCCAACTCTTTGTTTTTTAAACAATGGCCAAACAATTTTTAGAAGCCTTTTGTTGAGATTCCCTGGAAGTGGGAGTGAGATCTCAGCAGCAGATTTTCCCTTCTCCCAGTTTTCCATATCCAGGCGTTCAGAGAATCCCAGAGAGTTTGGGATCTGCTTTGCCTCTCTCAGAACTTCTCCAGCATCTTCTTCTTGATCTGCAGTTTCAACCAGACTGGGAGGCAGACACGGGGTCACAAACGCTCCTCACAGCACAGACACAACCTCTGCTTGGCAGCCCTTGCTGTGACACCGGGGTTTGGGTTATTTTGGCCTTTGAAGTGGTAATTCTGCTCTCTGTGCTCTGGGTCACCTTTCACTGCGGGCAGGGATCACCTGGGTGTGTTCGATCCCCTCAGTGACTGCTGGATGACCCGTTCCTCACCCAGACCTTTCAGTTGCTGCTGTATTTCCTGGCATTCCAGGGGCTGGAATTGCCTCCTCTCCTCTGGGTGTGCCCCCTGCAAACCTGCTCTTTTCAGTTAATCCAAGCCACACATGAGAGAGTTTTGCTTTTTCTAATTCCTTGTTCCTAATTCTGTGTGTTCTGCTGAAGTGTTGCTCTCTGATGTTTACTGTCCCTGCCCTATTTTCGGGAGCTGCCCTTTTCCCTGGACACTGAGTGGGATCCCTCTGGCTGTGGCTGATGAAGAGCTGGGTCATTATCTCTTGCCTCCCTTACTGCTTTATTCTGGTGTGTTCAAGAACTAATTGCTTCAGGAAGTGATAATTTAATTGGTTTAGATGTGAATGTGTTTATTATGGCAGGGGTCACCCAGCATCAAACATTTTTTTACTCTTCATGTGGTTTCCTTGATCTCTCAGTGTTTGTTGTTATCCCACAAATTCAGGGGCTGAGGCATTCCCAGACCAGGAATTTGCTGACTCAAGGGTTTTGTTTTTCTAAGGTTAGATTCCAGGGAGACCTGAGAGCCTCCTCCAGTGCCTAAAAGGGCTCCAGGAGAGCTGGAGAGGGACTTGGGACAAGGGCTGGAGGGACAGGACACAGGGAATGGCTTCCCACTGCCAGAGGGCGGGGAGAGATGGGAGATTGGGAAGGAATTCCTTGGCTCTGGTGAGGGTGATGAGGCCCTGGCACAGGTTGCCCAGAGGATCTGTGGCTGCCCCTGGATCCCTGGGAGTGTTCCAGGCTAGGCTGGAGGGGGCTTGGAGCATCCTGGTCTAGTGGAAGGTGTCCCAAGAGCTGGGGATTTTGGGTGTCCTGTGCCAAGCCGGGTTGATTTGAGCGGTTGATAATCCCCACCACAGCTGATAATCCCCACCACAGTTTGTTGGCTGTAACGAGGCTCTTTAAAGGTTAAATCACCTGGAAATGGGAGCCTCACTCCAGGACTCCATCTGGCTCAGATTAGACTCCTTTAGGTGTCTGCACTCATCCACTGGGAATGCACCTTTGTTTCCCGGGATCTCCTGTGTGTTCCCATGTTCCTTTTTAAGAAGGAGCAAGTGACAGTGAAGCTGCACTTCCTCTGCACCCCCTGTGTGTTCCCACTGTTGTGCAGGACCCAGATCTGCCCTGGGGAGGAACTGCTGTCAGTGAGGGCTCCGAGCACGGGGCATTCCCGAGGAACACAACCACGGCCTGCCTGGTTTTCCTGTTGGGATCTGGCCCAGCCTGGAGCTTTCCCTCACTCTGGGCAGCTGCTGGCACGGTTCATGAAGAGGAGAAGGAGCAGAGGGCGACTGTGTGGGGTTGGCCACGGGAGTGGCTGTGGGAGAACATCAGCCTGGTGGGGAGGGGGGAGCAGACAGGGCCCTTCATCAGAGCAGCACACCTGGCACAGGTGCCGCTCTCAGGAGCTGCTCCAGTGAAGGGAGAGGCTCCAGGCTTGGCTCGTGTCCATCTCCATTCCCTCCTGTCTGTTTTCCCGGCAGTGTTGACACGGTTTGGGTAACAGGGGTCATACCCAGACCAGCAGGGTTCTCACAGCTGAGCTGCAGTCTCTCTTATCTTACCTGGTAAGGTTGTAGTTTGTCTCACCCAGATATTAATTAAAGCTCATAATTAAAAGACAAGAGGCAAGCTGCACAGAGCAGCAGCTGTGGATGTTAGGGGCTGACCTAACTTTATTTTACAAAATGGAAGGTTTTTATAGGGCAGATAAGGAAGGTTCTGGAAAAGGGGAAAGGTATGCAAAAACTTGGACAGGGCATTGGTCAGGATTAGGGATTGACAGATAAAAAAGAGAGGGGATAGATGAATCTTCAGATCACTTTTAAGTACCTAATTGGAAAGGCCAGATGCCTGGACCAGACACTGTCCAATCCAAGGGAGCCTGCTCTCTCCTGTGAGAGAAAGCTTACAATCTAACAGAGACAGTCTATTTATCTTACACTGCCTGGCCCACATCGCCAGAAGTTGTCTCTTTCCACCTTCTAAAATCCTCCTCCTCCTGTTCCCCCCCCAGTGTCGTCCCGCCTGTCCCAGACGTCGTCCCCGCAGTCCGGCTGCCCGTCCCCCTCCATCCAGGGCAAGGTCCTCTCCTCCTCCCAGAAGCACAGCAAGAAGGCTCTCAAGCAGGTGAGTGACCTGTGGAATCTCCTTGGACATCCCTGAGGCGCTTCTGTTTCTCTGGTAAATGGCATTTCCCGGTGAAACTGCTCCGTGAGGGGAATTAATGCAGGAATCCTTGGTGTCTGTGAACAGCATTCGGCTGAAACTTCCCCTCTCCCTGAAGGAGATCAAAACACTCTGCTGTCTCATTCCTTTGCTTTCTCCCTAAATAAGCACAGGGCCTTTTTTTAAGTATTATTTTAGAGAAAAGCTCTAAAATGTGATTTCTTTTCCCCTGGCCCTCTGATGAGTGTCCGTAGCTTTCCACAGTCTGGTTTAGGAAATGGTTTTAGTAACTTTAGTTTTTGGGGGAAAGGAATTAAATGCACTGACTTCTTCCCCTGGTTGGCAGCAGTTCCCTTCCACGGAATTCCATGGGTGCTGTGTGTCCATGTGAAAGGAAGGGGAGGAGAGCAGGAATTCTGTGGGTGCAGTGTGGGCACACTGCCTTTGTGCTGCATCTCTGCTGGGTGTTGTGAGGGTCAGAGGGGGTCTGGCTCTTTTCCATGCCTGGCAATGACTGTGGATCATGTTCTCTGTGTGCACAGCATGGGATGGGAGGTGTTTGTGCTTCACGTGATCTGCTTCTCCTGATGAAAAATTCCGGCTGAATTCGTCCCCCAGTGTGGGATTTGCAGGTGTTTCCCCAACTGCATTGCTCAGTTTCCCATGATCCTTGGAAAGGAAATGCTTTATTGGGGTTGGATTTACTCCTTAGGAAAGGAAATGTCTGTGAGGAGTTATGGATCAGAGGAGGTGGGAGTCCAGGGATGGTGGGAGCTTGTCACAGCAGATGGAATCGTGATGTGTCCACACAGGATTTACCTCTTCCAGCCCAGCCCCTTTTCCTTTTTGCAGCTGAGAAGCAGCACTCAGGATGGCATTCCAGAGGTGCCTGTGGCCTTGGGAAAGGACCTGCAGTGAGACAGAATGAGCTGATTAGGGCCTGTTATTCAGGGAGTGATTGAACTGGCACAGGTTGCCCAGAGAAGCTGTGGCTGCCCCTGGATCCTGGAAGTGTCCAAGACCAGGCTGGACGGGGCTTGGAGCACCCTGGGCTGATGGGAGGTGTCCCTGCCCATGGCAGGGGTGGAATGGGATGAGATTTAAGGTCCCTCCCAACCCAGACCACTCTGGGATTCAATGACTATGAAACAGGCTCGGGGTTTGTTACAAACCTCTTTCCCTTCCTGTGCTCAGCAGCTCCTCTTGGAATCCCAGAAGAGTTTGGGCTGGAAGGGACCTGGAAGCCCATGTTGGTTCCACCCTCCTGCCATTTTGACCAGGTGTCACACCCTCCCCTGCCACCCTGGGCAGGACAAGTTATGAAATGTAGATTAAAAGAGCAAATATAGGGAAGGAGGCAGCAGGGCTGGACAAACACAACACCCAGTGAAAGGAGAATTAAAGGAATCTCTCCTGCCCTGATCCTGTGTGTGCCCCAGATTGTGTCCAGTGAGTTATGGTTTCCTGCTCTTGCCACTCCTGGCACTGTGGGACCGGGAGCTGAGGGGACACAGGGAACAAACTTGGACCTGTTCCACCTAAGCCAAGAAAAGTGCAGTCAGTGCATGGAACCTGAAATGTGAGGAGTGATTTGCACAGTGGGAGTGTGGGATTTATTGACACAACCCTGAACACAACAGTGATCCCAGTCAGTGCTTTCCTGATGGTCACTGTCCCCTGGGGTTCATCTTCAAGGGACAATTTGGAAAAGCTTTCTTGGGCTTGTTTGTGGATTTTTAGCAGGTCTCTCTTTTTATCTATCTTTTTTTTTTTTTTTTTATAGCTTTTGACCTCAGTAACAGGAGGTCAGTTCACTTTTGCCATGTTTTGGTTTGGCTGAGTGAATTTCTAACCTGTGGTGGAAGTGGCTAAACAGGAACTACATAATAAGTGGGAAAATAGGATCCGAGGTGTCTCTGTTATCTGGATCCTCCTGCTGTCACTGCTCCTTTGTGTCTTTAAGCTCTGAATCACTTCTGCTTTCCTCAGGAGGCAGATCCTGCAGGTTCCTGCACGTTTTTATTCCCTCCCCTAGTTTTAAGTGTGTTATTATTATCCTTGTTGTTAGTGTTACTGTTTGAGACAGTGATGATCTCCAGTGAACAGTCCCACTCGTTTGTGTCTGTGCAGCTCAGCCCATGCTGTTACTGCCTATTCTGAAATTCCAAGGGGATCCTTGATCTGTTGTAATTTATTCTGCTCTTGAGGTTGGTTGGCTTTGGGTTTCAGCTTTTGCAAACAGACACTTTGGTTTGCAGTTGAACCAAACCCCTTCTTCCTTCCTTGACTCAGCCACGGTGCCTTTTGGGCTGTGTCCTGGCTGCTGCTGGAATGAGTCTGTTCTGAAACAAAGGGGTTCATTTTCTTTTCTTTAGTGTTTGAATCTCTCTTACTTTCCTAATTAAAAACCCTTTCCCTGACGGGCAGTGTCTCTGTTGAAGGCTTTTAGGAAGTTGCTGCTTGCTTCTCCCCGGGGGGAGGGAATGAATTACATGGTGGTGCTTTTACTTTGGAGTTATTTGTGTAATCACTTCGTGAACCAACCCCAGATTTGGAGTCCTCTCTCTCTGGAGATCCTTTTCTCATGCAATAGCACAACTGGGGATGCTCTGTGGCCGTTAACTTTTAGCTGTCGATGCAAAGGGAGGAAATCTCCTTTTTCCTCGTGTTTAATCCCGTTGTCACCTGCATCACACTGAGCACACAGCACCGGTGTCCCGGGGACTGACTGGGTCAGAGGGTGTGTTGAACTTCTGCCAGAGCAGTTCGTGCTGTGCCTTAACCCTTGCTGAGGGCAGAGCTGAGTGCCTGTCCCCCTGTGCCCCAGGCCCTGAAGCAGCAGCAGCAGAAGCAGCAGCAGCAGCAGCAATGCCGGGCGGGCATGCCCGTGTCCTCTAACCAGCACCAGCACCAGCACGTCCTGCTCAAGGCCGTCAAGGCAGCCGGGGACTGCGCTCCGGGCAAGTCAGGTACGTGCGGGGACACGGCCAGTGTGTCTGCTCCCTGTCCTGCTGGGACATCCTCAGGGCAATGCTCTTTGACCTGGTGTTCTGTTCCTGGGATGGCCCAGCTCCCGTTTCCCTGGCTGTGGTTTTGGTGGGGATGCACCGGGGCAGGGATAGATCTTGGATAGGTCCCCCTGTGCCCTTGCCTGGGTAAAGCCTCTCCCTGGGCTCAGTCAGTGCCCTCCCCCTCAGCTCCCGCACCCTGTCATGTGTCATGTGCGGTTTCTCTTCCAAAATCTGGGACTTCAGCACCTTTCCAAACTGGAGGGAGTGCCTGGTGCTCACCTAAACCGAAGAGGGCAGAGGGAAGAGCAGCTCAGGGTAATTCCTCTCCCTTAGGAGGAGGAGGGGCAGGAAGGCAGGAGGATCTGGGGAAGGAGCTCTCCCAGCAGCAGCAACAGGAATTCTGCTGCCCAGAGGAGAGCGTGGGTGGCAGGGATGTGTGAGGAGAATCACAGGGGTGGGATCTGTCTGGTTTGGCCGAGTGGTGACTTGGAAGGAGGACGTGGAGCTGTCTCCTGGGTACTGGAAAGGGGAGGGAAGAGGAATTCCCAGGGATGGGCTGAGGGAACAGCTGTGATAGTGAAGTTTAGAAGGGACACATAAAGTGTGAAGAGATTTTTCCTGATGGTGAACTCCAGCAGGAACTCTGTTAACTCTGGAGGTGTTAACAAGACGTTCCTGGGTTGGATTTCCACTCTTCCAGGTGGGAAATAAATGGGGACTAACTGGGAAATAGACTCAAACTGCACATGGCATAGCTGTCCATCCCTGTATTTTGGGATGGTCTGATGGTTCCAAAGGGGTCTCTGCTGGGCAGTAAGTGCTACAGGAACAAAGGGGTGTCCATGTCCTGGGAGTGCCTGTCCCTGAGCCCAGGGCTGGGGTTTGTGTTTGAGAACCTCTGTTCCATCCAGACACAGCCTTGCTCCGTCCGTGCCTGTGTTCCAACGTCTCCTTTCCGGGCAGGTTGGGAAGGGAAGGCAGACGGGCAGTCCAGCAGCCCCCAGAACTCCACCTCCAGCTCCTCTCCCTCTGTGAAGCTCGAGAACTCCCTGCCAGGGCTGGGGAAGAAGCCGTTCCAGAGATCCGACAGGCTCCATGCAAGTAAGAGCCTCTTGCCCTGCTCACACAGCTGCTCCAGGGCCAGAACAAAAGCCTAAAAGAGCCAACTGGAGTGAAGTGTGTTAATCCCATTGCTGGGGGCACTTCTGGAGAGCCCTGGGAGGTGCTGCCAGTCTGCTGTGGGAATTAGGATGAATAATTCAACCTTCCATATGCAGATCAGCTTTTCTCAGTCCTTCTCATCAGGGCTTTCTCCTGGGAATTTGCAGCTGTTTGGGAGCACAAAAGGACCTGCACTATTTGTCAGCCTTTTTAATGTGCTTACACACTCTGATAACATTAACAAGGAAAAAGAAATCCCTTCCCAGGTCCTCACCCTTCAGACACGGCTGTGGTTTGGCTCCCGGCCCCTCACTGGGGTCTGGGCTTTCTCAGCCCTCCTGCCCTCTGTGGTTCTTCTTGCATTTACCAGGGGTGGTGTTGATGTTCTTACAGAATCACAGAATGCCCTGAACTGGAAGGGACCCTCAAGGACCATCCATCCAACCCCTGGCCCTGCACAGACACCCCAACAATCCCACCCTGTGCCCCAGAGGATCATCCAAACCCTCCTGGAGCTCTGGCAGCCTTGGGGCCGTGCCCACTCCCTGGGCAGCCTGGGCAGTGCCCAACCACCCTCTGGGGGAAGAGCCTTGTCCTGAGATCCCACCTGACCCTGCCCTGGCACAGCTCCAGCCCTTCCCTGGGTATCCCTGCTGTGTTCCCTTTCCTTTGGATGGTCCTTGTGGGTCCCTTCCAGCTCAGGACATTCCATGATTCCATGAAATGCTTCCCGTGTTGCTCACCCCTGAACCGGCAGCACAGCCCCAGAGCTGTGGCACAAAGGGCAGTGGTGGCTCTCACACAGCAAAGCAAAGGGACAGCAAGGACTCCTTGGGTTCCTGCTGTGTCTGGTGTTGGGGTTTCCACACAAAGCACAACGAGCTGATGAATTTTTCTGGGATGCTTTTGCCGTGAACAAAGTAGGAAAGTCCAAGAAGAAATCCAGAGGATCGAACTGACCTTAACTGGAGGCTTAAAACAGAAAATTGATGGAATTGATAAAAGGAGTTCTAGAAAGGCTCCTGAGAATCCCTTCTTGCCAAGCCCCAGCCAGCCAGGATCCCAAAAAGTGAGGGTGACTGACACTGAGGCTGCAGTGCCTCAGGTGTGGAATGTTCTGGCTGGGAAGGACCTCCCACACTGTTTCTGGCTGCTGATCATGTGTTTGAAGTCACAGAGTGGACCCTGCCGGGGCTTTTTGGAACTCCCACGTGCCGGGGACTCCAGAGGAGTGTCCTGGAGGGGGGTGTGACGTGTGTGTGGTTGGTTGCAGGGCAGCTGAAGAGGGCCAAGTGCGCCGAGATCGACGTGGAGACGCCCGACTCCATCCTGGTGAACACGAACCTGCGGGCGCTGATCAACAAGCACACCTTCTCCGTGCTGCCCGCCGAGTGCCAGCAGCGCCTGCTGCTCCTGCTGCCCGAGGTGGACAGGCCGGTACGGAGGGGACGGGGACGGGCCAGCAGGGCCAGGGGGGCTCACACCGGGATCCTGCCCCAGCCCTGGGGGCGTCCAAGGCCAGGCTGGAGCAACCTGGGACAGTGGGAGGTGTCCCTGCCCATGGCGGGGGGTGGGACTGGATGGGCTGTAAGGTCCCTTCCCACCCAAACCATCTGGGATTCCACGTTCTTCCTGTGATTCCAGACACCCAAATCCCGTATTTATGTCAATGGGAGCAACCTTTTCTTCAGTGCAGGAGGTACAGCAGTTGGGAAATCCCTCTGGGATTCATTCGGGTGTGTGTTGCTACCCGGGTGTCTGGGCAGCAGCAGGCCTGTGGAGGGCTGGGCTGAGGTGAGGATGAAGATGAGGATGAGGAGGAGCTCCCACAGCCTCGGGGATCCAGCCTTGGCCCCGGCACAGCCGGACTGAGGCTGCTGCTTTTCCCCCAGCAGGTTCCAGGCGGGTTCCCGAGGGATCTGTGGCAGCACTGGGGGGCTCCTGCCGTGTCTCAGGGCCATCCCCTCCCCAGCAGGTGACTTTGCTGTGCTGTGTTGCAGGTGGGGGCTGACGGGGTGATGAAGCTCAGCAGCTCCGCGCTCAACAACGAGTTCTTCACCTCGGCTGCCCAGGGCTGGAAGGAGAGGCTGTCGGAAGGTAAAGCCTCCCCACACCACCCCCAGCAGCCCCTCAGCTGGGCAGGGTGGGGGAATGCCCAGGGGCTGTGTCAGGGAGAAGCTGCAGGGTGTCCAGCCTTTGGAACCAAAGGCAAGCCCAGAATTCTGGGACCTCAAGGTCACAGGCTGCAAGAAGGAGTTCTCTGTTCAACTTACCATGTGGAACAGAGCAAATCCCTGGAAAAGATGAGAAAAGAAGGAAAAATGTGTTTAAAATCTCTTTGAAATGACAGTGGAGCTGTGGCATTCCAGGGTCGTGGTGCCTAAACAGAGGCACTGCTGAGCTCAGGAGAGAAGGGGAGTTCTGTTCCCAGAGCAGTGCACGGTGTCCTCGGCCATGGTCACTGTGGTGTCCTCTGAGACATCACTTTTGATACTTAGATTGGATACTGGGGAGAAATTCTTCCCTGTGAGGGCAGTGAGGCCCTGGCACAGGTTGCTCAGAGGAGCTGTGGCTGCCTCTGGATCCCTGGAAGTGTCCAAGGCCAGATTGGAGCAACCTGGGATAGTGGGAGGTGTCCCTGCCCATGGCAGAGGGTGGAATGGGATGAGCTTTAAGGTCCCTCCCACCCAAACCATGCCATGGTTGTGTGATTCTTTGTAACACAAGGTCAGCCATTTACTCATCTGTGAGACTCCTGCACCCTCAACATTCATTTTAACTCGAGTTTAGAGGTGCTTAATTCCATTATTTGATCAAACCACACCACTCACTGTGGGCAGGGACCACCTCCTGCTCTATGGAATTGAAGCATGGCCTGTTCCCAGAGTTTTCTAAGGACTGCAGCACCAATCCTGACTGCCTTCAGGAGGAAGGAATATCTGTTCCTCGTGCCCAGGGGATTCTCCTCACAAGGCTGACCAGGCCGTTCCCTCTCCTCCTGTCCCTGTTCCCTGGGAGCAGAGCCTGACCCCCCAGCTCCCCCCTCCTGTCAGGGATTGCAGAGCCAGAAGGTCCCCCCTGAGCCTCCTTTTCTCCAGGCTGAGCCCCCCCAGCTCCCTCAGCCCCTCCTGCTGCTCCAACCCCTTCCCAGCTCCCTTCCCTGGCCTGCCCCAGTTCCACCCTGGCAGGAACTGTGCTCCCAAGGGACACTCAGCTTTCCCTTGGACAGATTTCAGTCACTGCACAGAGAACAAACTCAGCAAGAATTTCTTACAATCCTGTTATTTGAGAAAATTGTCCAGAGTCCAACTGTGCAGTGATAGAAACATCCCACTTCTGTGGATCTCTCTGGGGACTCCCCTCTCTGGTAACTGCAGTGTTGGAAAAGACCTGATCGCTGTAACTTCCCTGCAGTGCTGAAGAGCACACAGGGAACGGTGTGGGGAGGAGATAAACCTTCAGGTCAGCAAAGCTCCCCAGTGGTGTCAGTGATGCCCTCACAGGACCAACACATCTCACACACCTTCCTGGCCCAGAGCTGCTGGGGAGGGCTCTGAGGGCACAAGGGGACATTTCTGGGCAGCCACAAACTCCTGGTGGGTGGGAACGTTCCCCTCGGGGGTGTGAGGGGGGTTTGTTCCCCTGCCTGTGACAGCAGCGTGTCCAGAGGAGCCCCTGGGGCTCAGGGAGGGGCTGAGGTGCCCCTGGGGCTGTCCTGGCAGTGTGCGGGCTCTGGGGTGTGCCCGACCCATCCACCCCTTCCCTGGCTCTGACAGGGTCCCTTTTGCACCTGCAGGAGAGTTTACCCCGGAGATGCAGCTCCGAATCCGGCAGGAAATCGAAAAGGAAAAGAAGGTGGAGCTGTGGAAGGAACACTTCTTTGAGAGCTACTACGGCCAGAGGTGAGAGCTCAGCCTGTCTCCGTTCCCTGCCTGGCCAGGGGTACCTGCTGTGTGTTGGGCCATCAATAAACTCTGCTTCACATTAGCCCTGAAACCTGAAGGAGGTCTGGCTTCACCTGCCTGCCGGGGAGCTGGAAGTGCCAGAGGGATCCAGGTCAGGCACGAGGGGTTTGCTGCCCCAGCACCTCATGTTTGACCTGGGCAACCCTGTTCTCCTTAGGCAGGGTGTCCTTGGGCTTCAACCTTTTCCCATTCCTGGCTATGAGCCTACTCCCACGGTTCTCCTGGTGTTGGGGCTCTGGAGGTCCTTGAAGCTGTGGTGGCTGAGCATGTCCCACCTCTGGTGTGCTCCCCACATCCTCGATCCCACAGTACTTGGTCAGACTCCCAAATCTGCCCATCCTTTATTCTGTGTTTCCTCTTGGTTTAAGATTTTCCCACCCTCTGGGGCTATGGAGAGGTTTCCAGGTTTCTCTTACCATAGGGTAATTAGGGCTTGGAAAATTAGTGTCTGGACAGAGGCCTGGAGCTTCCTGATATTCCCTGTATTGCATTGAAGTGGTTTTAAATTTTGATACTGATTTCTGTTTTCCATGTGAGAAGTAACAGCACAGAGGGTTCTCAAAGGTGTGTGAGACGTTCATTTACGCTGTGGGATGCAGGGAATCCTGCCTCTGTTTCCCCAGGGATTGCATGGGTTTTTGCACAGGTGTTTTACAAACTCTGCCTCTGTTTTCTTGCCAGCTCCGGGCTGAGCCCCGAGGAGTCGGAGCTGCTGACGGCGCATCCCGAGGCGGAGCCCGCCCAGCCCCGCAGCGCCCCGGCAGCGCCGCGCCGGGAGCACGGCACCTCTGCCCCCGAGCCCAAAGCACAGGCAGCCCAGGAAGCACCAGCAGTGAAAAAAGGGGCAGAGGAAGGAAGAGAGGACACACCAAAGCCAGCCAAGCCCCCCGAGGCCTCGGCTTCCCCGGACAGGCGGGCGGTGAAGCCCAGCGACCGTTCCCTCCCTGTCAGGGAGAGAGTCCAAGGAGAATCCATCCAGGAGAAACCCCAAACTGCCGCCAGGCAGAAGCCAGAGGAAGAGAGGAAGCACAGTGCAGCGAAGGAGGTGCCAGGGAAGGAGACTGTGGGTGCCCCCAGCAAACCAAAGAGCCCCGAAGCAGGGGAAGCAGCAGCCAAGGGGCAGAGCCCAGCGGTGACTCCGGCCCCGCCGGAGAAGCAGCCCCCCGTGGGGGAGGACATGGAGGTCAGCGTGGAGGCCCACAAGAGGAAGTCGGAGAGCCGTGAGGAAGCTCCAGCCACTCCTGAGAAGAAGCCCCGGGTGGTGGAGCCCTGTCAGCACCACCAGGCATTTCGGAGCCAGCCCCAGCCCTTTCCTGCCGGGCCCCCCGTGCCACGAGTGCCCCCCCTCAAGGTAAAGGCGGCGAGGGCAGAGCCACGGCCTGGCCTCGCACAGGGGTCCAGCTGGCGGCTCTCATGGAATCTTGGAATCCCAGAAGGGTTTGGGTGGGAAGGGACCTTAAAGCTCATCTCATTCCACCCCTTGCCATAGGTAGGGACACCTCCCACTGTCCCAGGTACCAGGCTGGAAACCAGGTGAGCTGCAGAGGGACTGCAAGGCTGTAATAACAGAGCAGGAGTGCAGAGAGCCTTGCAGGTGTGGGAGGTCCAGCTCCAGAAGGAATGCCATCCACAGCTTCCTGAGAGCCAGTGCAGACACTCAGTTATCCCTGTGTCTGAAACAGGCCATGTGGCACCACTGCAGTTGTTTGCAGCAGCCCAGGGCAGCAGCACCAGCTGAGGAGCAGGGAAAGAGCATTTTGAGGAACACCTCAGTTCCAGAGGCCCTTGAGCTGCCCAGTCTTCCCAAGAACCCACCTGGGAAAGGAAATGGGCAATTGGTCACTGCTGGGACGGGCAGGACAGAAACATTCCAGGCTTTGCCTGGACAGTGCAGCCCCTCGGGTTTGGGAGCCAGGTCATAGGACCAGGCACCTGCTGCTGAACCTGCTGGTTTGGGGCCTTAGGCAGAAGCTGTAAATGGGAAACCGCTTAATTCCTGCATTTCTGTGTGTCCTGGTAATTCTACTCCCCTATATCTGTATCCTTTAGGTACTAGAAGGCTGCAAACTGAACATTTTAAAAGCAGTTTGTTATTCTCACCATGTTACCAAGTACAGCCCCAAGGCAGGAAGGCATCAATGAAATTATTAGGGACACAGAGCTGGGGGTCCATAAAGGAGACCTGGAATGCCATCCAGGAAGGATGGTTGGCCTGCCAGGGAAGGAAAGGGATTGAATTTAACAGGGTGGGTTGAAGGTGACCGCGAATGGGGACTGCAAAGGCAGGGGAACGTGGGGACAGACGTGCCCCGAGATGTGCCATTCCCAGAACAGAGAGAGGAGTAGTGAAGTGGCTGATCAGAGCTCAGTGGGACTCAGGGAGGTTCTGTGGATACGGAAAACAAATGTAAAACCTCAGATAAACTCCCTGAGGTCCCTGCAGGGGAAAGAGGGGAGCACCGAGGGCGGGGCAGGGCTCAGCAGGTTGGAAAGAGTAAACATAGAGAAAGTCAGCTGGGACACTGAGGGGAATATTTTGGAGGAAAGGACTGAAATATTGGCATTTAACCTCCTAGATGGAGGGATTATTATGGCTTTGTACAAAGACACTGAGGAGATGAGTGGTGGATGTGCAGAGGGAAGAGCAGGATGGTGACACCAGCCTTCCAGAGGGCAGAAATTCCATCTGAATGAAGTTTGGAACAGAGGAAGAGCCGACAGATGTTGGGGTCTGGAACAGCCCTGCAGGGAGGAGCTGGGTGGGCTCTGAGTGATGGTGTCCGGTGATTCTCGCTGTGACTGTGAGAGCCGAGCTCCACTCTGAGCCACTGGGATTGCACTGCACTTAAACTGGGTGTGAGATCCAGGGGTCCTACACTTCTCCTGGTACTTATTTGGTGAGGGGGGATTTCTCCAAAGCGGTTTCCCCAAGACTCCAACTCGTTCCCTAAGACTGAACTGCCAGCCCTGAAGTTCTCAGCCTGTGGGTTCCCCGTGTCTCAGCTGTGCTCTGCTCTGCTCTGTTCCAGATTCCCGTCTCCAGAATCTCCCCGATGCCATTTCCTGCGGGCCAGGTCTCTCCCAGGGCACGTTTCCCCTTCTCCCTCACCAGTCCGGGCAGGACAGGGGCCAGGACCTTGGCCGACATCAAGGCAAGGGCCCAGCAGGCCAAGGCTCAGAGGGCAGCGGCCGCCGCCGCCGCCGCCAGCGCCGCCGCCGCCGCCTCGGCCGGGGGGGCTGTGCCGGGGCCCGGCCCGGGCGGGGGGACACGCCCGAGTAGCGGCACCACCCAAACTGGAACGGCGGGACACGCACTGGAACTGGCAGGAACTGGAAGCGGGGGAGGTTCGAGAAGGTTTCTTCCCCACTGCCCAGGGCCCCGTTCCCAAATGGAGAGCCGGGCCACGGAGCAGGGAGCTCCTGGCGATCCTTCTGGAGCACAACTACAGCCAAGGGCCCCCGCCCAGCCCAGGGCCCCCGGCCCCTCCTCCGCAGCCCCCGCACTAGGGAACGTGGGGGACAAGCCGAGCCCCCCGCGGGTGACGGGGACCCCGGGGACGGAATCCCCACACGCCGGGAGCGGGGACGGAGTGGGGACGACCCCTTGTGCCGCGGCCCGCGGGGCTCCGGCGGGCAGGGACGGGCCTGGCTGTGGCACCGGCACCACCGTAACCGCAGGAGCACCTGCAGCCTTGGGAGGGACCAGCTCTGACGTTTCCAAAAGCAAATCCCCTTCCCCTCTGGTGTCCTCGCTTCCATCGGCAGGCCCCGAAGCCCAGGCTGGAGCTGTGGGCACTCCTGCCCCCGTCCCGCCCTGCAGCGCTTCCTCAGCAGCACCCAGCCTTAAAACCCCACCCAAACCCAGCTCCAGTATTCCTGCCAACAACCCTTTGGTCACCCAGCTGCTCCAAGGCAAGAACGTCCCCCTGGAGCAGATCCTGCCGAAGCCGCTCACCAAAGCAGAAATGAAAACGGTGCCCTTGGCTCCCCGGGAAGAGCAAGGGGCGGCAGCTCCCAGCGCAGCGGGGAACGGCACTGGGGCCGAGGCGGGGGACAGACCAGCGGGTTTACCCTCACAGCAGCTTGGGAAGATCTTCTGCCAGAACAGGCCTCTGCCTCACATTCCAAGGACCTTCCCGCTCCCCTCGGGAAAGGACCCCGGCCATGAGCAGCACCAGTGCCACGAGGCGTTGAGCAGGGCCACCCAGGAGCAGATCCTTCAGACCCTCATCAAGAGGGTGCAGAGGCAGAATTTGTTGCCCGTCCTTCAGCCCTCGCAGCTGAACCTCCCCCACTCAGGTTTCCCGGTGGAAAACAGCTCCACCAGCCAGAGATTCATGCTGGGCTTCACGGGCAGGAGGACGTCCAGGCCTGCCATGTCCGGTCATTATCTGCTCAACATCTCCACCTACGGCCGTGGCTCGGAGAGTTTGAGGAGAGGCTTCTCCTTGAACCCCGAGCTCCGGCTGGGGCTGAGCAGTCCTGCGGATGGTGCCAGGGCAGAGTTTGGGGAGTGCGAGGAGGGGGCCGGCCAGGGCAGCAGCAGCGAGGAGGATGCGGATGACGAGAGCACCGGGGACGAACGGGAGGACGTCGGCGTCAAAGAGGAGCCTCAGGCCTCTGGTCAGTGTGAGAGAGAGCAGGGATCTCACAGCACCAGCCCTGCTCATCCCAGCTCCCTGGGGACGAGGGCTGGGAAGGCCGAGGCAGCCCCGGCCCCGCTGGCAGCCGGCACCAAGGAGAGCCCTCCGGCGCTGGACGGCACCGCGCTGGCCCGGGACCTGATCCAGGCGGCGCAGGAGCAGATGGCACACGCCATGAGGGGCAGGATGCACAGCAGCCCGGAGCATTTCGGGCCTCCTGCCCCGTCCCCGGACTCGGCGCAGCCTCCGCTGCTTCCGGCTCCGCACCCCCCGAAGCTGTCTGGGAGTGCCGGGGCGCAGCTCCTGGGGCCCAGTTACAGCGGCACAATAAACGTCTCCACCTCGCCCGACGTGAGCCAGGGCTCCCTCATCTCGGGGCTGTCCGAGTGCAACCAGCTGGCCAGCTCCATGGGGAACGTCATGTCCTTCTCCGTGACCGTCACCACCATTCCCGCCGGCCAGGCTGTGAACTCTGGCGGGCACGGGCAGACCCTGCCGGTGCAGGCCTTCGCCGAGGACGGCGGCATGGAGGATTCCCCTTCCAAATGTTACTGCAGGTTGAAAGCCATGATCATGTGCAAGGGCTGCGGGGCCTTCTGCCATGATGACTGCATCGGCCCCTCGAAGCTCTGCGTCTCCTGCCTCGTCGTGCGGTAACCGGGCCGGGACGCGGGCACGAGGATGGCTTGATTTAGGGTTTGCTTTCGGAAGTATATCGGGAAGAAAACAGGAATTTTACTGCCTTGCACAAGAGACACGTTACTGAATCAGGAAAACAGAGTAGAGTCCTTCTTTCATTAACGAAAGAGCACCTTCTTGTACAGGGAGTCGAAACCGCGCTCGACTACGTGAATTGTGACAAGAGTTTGCACTTAAGGAATTATGTAAATATGTCACATTATTTTGTTTAAAGATATTTTTTCAATCTTTTAGGAGATGATAGTGTTTGACTTGTGCTGCAGTTTCAGTAACCCCAGCCTGCTCTGAGCGTGTTTGCTGAGTTCTGCTCGACACGGGGCCTCCAACCCGTAGCCTGTGGTTGGTCTTCTCCTGGCAGAGGGGAGAACGGGATAATCCAAATCCATCTGTGTGTGCTGAGCGGGGACAGAGCCCTGAGTGGGCTCCCTTGGCTGCTCTCTGGTTCAAATCTTTGGGAACTGGAAGGCGCTGCCAATGTCGTGCCAGCCTTTCCAGCCATTGCCTTCCTCCCGTGACCCGGCTGTTCCCAGGAGGCTCCTGGGCTGTGCAATATGGGCTGGTGTTCCTGATCTGCAAATCCTCCCCTCTCCCAGGAGGCGCTTCCAGTCGCCACGTTTAAGGGAGGTGGTGTCTGGGTGTGTTGCTGGGGAAACAGAAAGAAGGAACTGTCCTGGCTGTGGGGTCCAGAGTCACTGGAACAGCTCAGAAACTGGGATTGTCAGTGCCCCCTGAAGCAGTGAGGGCAGAGCTCACACAGCTGTGCTTGGACTGTCAGGACCGGACAGGAATCTGCTCTCCTGGGCATTCCCAGTGAGCGGGGAGGGGCTGTCCTGCAGCCCAGGGCCAGCAGCTGTTGGGACACGGGGGCAGGTGAGGGGCACAAAGCGTCACCCTCGGACCTGCCGTGTTCTGGGAAGTGTTTTGTGCTCCTCCAACCCCCGCCACGGTCAGCCCTCTCCAGTTTCTATCCAAGATCCTGCATTTACTCAGTGTAGGGAAAGGCAGTGAGTGGCTGGGCCTCTCTGGGCAGCCCTTTGTGTCTGAAGTACCAAATCAGGCTCAGCTCAGCTCTGATGGGGCTCGGCTGAGGGGAGGGGTGGGCTGGGGACGGGGCTGCCCCTGCCCTTGTACCTGCCAAGGCCAGCCCCAGCTGGGGATGCTCGTCCTCGCGCGCTTGGCACACCAGGGCTGTTCAGACACCACCAGGCTCGGTGCCCGTCCAGTCCCACCCTGTCCCTGCCCGGGCAGGCAGGGCCCTCGCTGCATCCTGGGCAGGGAACAGAGCTGTGTGTGTTTCTGATGGAAAAGCACTGAATTCACTTTGAATCCAAAGGCCTTTTAAAGCTGAAGCAATATTCCCATGGCAGTGGGACGGCTGTGTGGTGCACGGGGTCCTCAGCCCTTCTTTCCTCTCCCTTGGCTGTACTACTGCTTCCCCTTCCCTCCCCCCGGGAACCCAGCACGTGGTGGGGGGGAGCAGAAATAACTGTCTGGGAGATTTTCCAAGGAGCAGGTGCCGCCCAAACCCGCCAGAGCTGAAGGAGCGTTGGGACAACGCTGTGAGGCACGGGGTGGGATTGCTGGGGTGTCTGTGCAGGGCCAGGAGTTGGACATGATGGTCCTTCCAGCTCAGGATATTCCATGATTCTGTGATTTATTTGGTGATGGTAAGGAAAAGCGAGTTGCAGACTAAATCCTGTGGTAGCAGGAGCGTTCCCTTCCCGGCCCAGCGAGTGCAGCCACCTCTGGAGCAGGAGCTGCAGCATCACTTGGTCTGGGATTTGCTCACCTTCAATTCATTGCAGAGCAGTGGCCCCCCCGCTGTCTGATTCCACATCACTGCTCAGGCATCCCGTGGTGAGGATGTAGGGATTAGAAATAAACTCTTTTTTTTTTTTAATCTAAAACTGAAATCTCAAAAAAACTGCACAGAATTGCTCCCACAAGCATCTCGTGCTGGTGGTGGTTGTAGCCCAGGAAACTCCCACTGTGGGTGTGTTCCCACCACTTCCCACTTCCAGCTTGTGTTCTGGAAGAGGAATTCTGAGTAACTCTGGCCTTGTCCGGGCATGAAGGAGGTTCCAGCAGTGTAATCCGGGTCAGACACACCCCTTCCTGCCCGGGACAGCCCCGGGAGAATCCCATTATCCCATTTGCAGACTGTGCTGGCCACAAAGCAAACTGACCCAGTGGTTCTTGCCAAGGAGGAGGGTGAACGGCTTTGCTGCACAGCTGGGGCAGCTCTGCTCACTCCTTGGCTCTGCTCGCTGTGTTTTTCCAGGCTGAAGGAGAGGATGAGGAGGGAGCTGTGGGCAGTGACCTGCCCGTGTGCCCTGGGTGTGTCACAGGCTGCCGCTGGAGCGGCTGTTCCAGTGCTCCTCTGGCATTTCCCAAACCATCCCCACCCCGGCTGTGCATCCAGCTCCTTCCTCTCGTTCAGTTTTCTGGAGTCCTCTGCTGTGCATGGATCTGGGGTTCTGTGCCAGTTCCCTGGCAGTGCAGGGAGCTGCTGTTCCCTGAGCTGTCCCACGGGAATGTGCCTGCCTGGCCCTCACTGTCCTGCGGTGGGATGGCTGGGGATCTGAGATGGGATGGGATGGCTGCTGATCCAGGTGGGATGGCTGGGGATCTGAGATGGGATGGGATGGCTGGTGATCCAGGTGAGGTGGCTAGTGATCCAGGTGGGATGGCTCGTGATCCAGGTGGGATGGAATGGCTGGTGATCCAGGTGGAGTGGCTGGTGATCCAGGTGGGATGGGATGGCTGGTGATCCAGGTGGAGTGGCTGGTGACCCCAGACATCGAGGTGGCCCCAGGCTGGCACTGGCCAGCGCAGGATCGTGGGTGGTGGCTCGGAAGTTTACACCTCTGTCAGTGCCTTAGTTCCATTTCATGGATCAACACTTTGCTTGGGCTGCTTTTCTTCTGTTTCCCTTCAAGACAATAAATTCTCTTAGGCCCACCCTTGGTTTTAACAGGCTCCTGGTGCAGGCTGGTGGATCAGCTCTGCGAGTGTGCAGAGGGCACTGATGGTGAGGAAATCATTGGGATAATGGGCTTGGTGTAATAATCACTGCAAGTACCCCCCGGAATAGGGATAAAGCCCTGGAAGCTGCAGCTGGTTGTGGGATGATGTGTTTCAGAAGAGGGGATCCTGGTTGTGGGATGATGTGTTTCAGAAGAGGGGATCCTGGCTGTGGGATGATGTGTTTCAGAAGAGGGGATCCTGTGTAGTTCCTGGCATGGGATCAGCCTGTCCCGCTGCCGAGGCTCCTTCCTGCGAGACAACAAACCCACCTTCACACTGGATTTATAAACAAAGGGATGTCGGGATGTAGGTTAAACTGTCAGACTTGGCTTCCCAAGGAATTCATTCCACAGCACTGCAGGGAACGCTGGCATCCCAAATCCAAAATAAACGTTCCAAAGGCCGATGTCAGAGTGGTTTTGGCAGGGAAGGGAACCTCAGCGAGGGAAGAGATTCAGGTTTCAGTTTCCCTGTTCGGGAAGCAGAACTGGAATTACAGCCCGACCAACACTTCTCTTCCAGACCCCACGCAGGAGTCGTGGCTCTGGGAGTTCGGGTTGTGAGCCAGGTGGGCAGCAAGGGAGGGAACTGGGTGAGGGATGTCACTGTCCCTCCTGAACTCCCCAGGAAGGAGGAGGCTCTGAGCAGTTGCACTGGCTGGGGAGTTGTGTTGGTTTGGTTGTCAGAAGCAGCTGCTGGGGCGGCAATGCCAGGTCAGGTCGTTGATGCCGGAGGGACCCTCAGTCCTCACTCACCCTGGGGGTGTTGCTGCTCCAGAGGCAGCTCCAGAGGCAGCAAAACCCATCCTGGGCTGGGAGGGTGGATTGGAAGCGGGTTTGGGGCTTCTCTCTGGGGAAGCTCATTGTGAGGGTCCAGGTGAACCCAGGAGGGTTTGGAGGACAGGGCTGGGATGGGGTTTCCCTCTGCAGGGCCTCAGGTTTGGCACAGCAGTGCCCAATCCTGGGAAGGATCTTGCATCCTCTGGGAGCTGAGCCCGGGCTCAGCTGGGAGAAGGTGGCTCAGCTGGGCCCTGGAGTAAGGGCTGGAACCTCCGGGATCCCACAGCGGGAATGGGGGTGGCTGTGGGGGTGGGAGGGGCTGGGGTGGCACTCGAACCCTGAATTATCTTTGATTAGCACAGATTGCCTGCACGGGGGGGACACCATTCCCAGGCTGCCGAGGAGCCTCCCCACGGAGCCATCCGGGTGTTCCAGGCCTGGGGGACGTGGGGTCCGTGTGCCACCAGCGTCTCACGGGGACACAGCCTGTGCTGGGAGGGAGAGATCCCGAATTTCCCTTGTTCCCTAGGTTGTTTTTAATGCTATACGTTTGCTATAACTGCAGAGCGAGTTTAAGAGCTTACAGTAATATATTTTAAGTAATATATATTTTAGTATCTGTAAAGAAACGTGGACAGAGGATGATTTCTGAGGTGGATGACAGGGTACAGGAGGGAGCAGTTCCTCAGCGAGGCCAAGGGGGGTTTCTTGCAGGAAAACTGCAAAGATTCAGTTTTTGCCATTAATGCAATAAAAATGGGAATTCTCACAAAGAAGCAATCCAAGACTGTTTCCCAGAGGCTTCTCCTGTGTGGACAACAGGCCTGTAAACACAGTTCCAAAATTCCTAAACCTTTGTCTTTTGCCTTTTTAAAAGGGACTTCAATTGGGCTCGAGGGTCTGTACAGCGAAATTGAGGTGACACCATTTGAAAATGTATTTTTACACAAATAATATAGAAAAAAATCATATTTTACATAAGAATTTTAAGTATTTGAAATGTGTATATATATATACTGTATGTACTTCGTATATGCTTTATTTTACATTTTCAATGTATTAAAAAGTATTTGAGCTGGTTGGATCTGAGGTGTAATGATGTTTCAAATCCACAAAGCAAGGGCAGAGGAGCCGGGAGGGAAGAGCAGGCGTGAGCTCTGCCAGGAACTGGGTGGGAAAAGAAACAGCACCAACAAGTCAGGGTTAAAAATGCAAAGATGAACCCTGGCAAGGCAGGGAACCGGTGTTTTCATACTTGATTATTATTGGAATCTCCTGAAAAAGCAAACCTTGCCGCTCAATTGTCAGAGCTGCCCTGGGCAGGTTGAAGGGTTTTCACCCCAAACCCACTGCCCTGAGGGGTCTCGCTGGGGGAGGGGGATGTGAACCTGGGGGTCTGGGAAGGGCCTTCATCCCACTCCTCTCCATCCCAGCTTCATCCCCCACCTGCAGAACCACCTCAGGCCTGAGAGGGAACGACAGCTTTGGGAGTTGGTTCATATTTGAGGTGAATGGGTGAGATGAAATAACAGCAAAGTGGTGGAGCTGCTGCACTTCCAAACAAACATTCCTTACTCCCCGGCACTGCTGCATCTGCCAGCCCTTCCTCTCCCAGTTTAAAATTGAACTGAGCTGCTCTCCTGTCCCTTTCAGTTCAGGCTCCTCCAAAGCTACAGATTCTATACTGGAAAAGCTGGGCTGGGAGCTTCACCCTTGGAGGCCTCTGGGCTCCTCCCATGGCCTGATCGCAGGGATGTGATCCCATGGGCCATGAACACATTGCAGCTACTGCAGCTTCCTCCAGGCCTGCTTCCCAACAGACAGGATTTACGTGTCCTGAAGGCGCAGGGGTTTCCTTGGGCCTCATGGACAGAGGTGTCAGGAACAGCTTTTAATCTGGTGGACAGAGGTGTCCCAGGGATATGCCCAAAAACCGACTCCACGGATTTTCCAGCGCCTTCCAGGTGAGTGCCAGCACAAGCCCTGTCACAGGCCGTGGCAAAGCCACACTGAAATCAGGAAACTGGAGAGGATTGTGCAGAAAAAGAAGCAATTTTAAGGCAGTGAGGTGATTTCTGGGCATTTAAATCAGCAGGGACCAGTCCCACACAGGAGCAATCCATCGGGAACACGTGTGACCATTGGGATGCAGCCATGAGAATCCGTGTGTCCATTGGGATGCAGCCCTGCCCAGCACAGGAGCAATCCATCAGGGACACGTGTCAGGGGATGCAGCTGTGCCCTTTGCAAAGGTGGGTTTATCAGCTTTGCCACTCGTTTTGCTGTGTAAAATTCCACCTCAGCGCCTCACGTGGAGAGGGATCCGAGGGGCGGCTCCCAGCAGCCCGTTCCCAACCTGGCACGGGCAGGTCTGTGCCCTCAGATGGACCCTGGCAGGCAAAGCCCTCCCTGTGGCTCGTGTCCTGCCCGGGTTCTGGGCCTCTTCCTCCCCCTCTTTGCCCTGTCCAGCTCTGTGGAATGAATGTACGATCCAGGAGTTCCTCAGCACATGGACAAACGTGTTGCACCTTCACAGTTCATTTCATGTTAAATAAACCCCAGGATTTTATGGCCTTTAGTCCTGCTGATGGTGATTTTCAGGGATTTCCTTTTGCCTCCCAAGGGACCCTGACAGGGAACTGCACTTTCCTGGCTTTATAAGCTGGTTTTGACACCCATTACATTTTCTTTTGGCACATTTTAAGGGGAAAACTTTGGTTTACTACTAAGCCTTAATAAACTCTCTGCAGTTCCCTCACTTCTTGGGGTCCCTAAACACTCCAGGAGCATTGAACTGTAGGTTTGGGAAAAAGAAAGAAACGGGAAAACCTGTGTCGAGCGATGGGAACTTGATTTCCCTGAAACAGAGGGATTTAAGGAAACAGGTGTGAAACCAGCTCTCCTGATTTTCTGCCAGGAAAACTCTGAATGCACTTAACAAACTCAGTAAAATCAGCAGGAGTGTGAGACACCTGGGAGTGTGCAGGAGCCTGAGATTTCTTTTCCCTGAATACATAAAAAATGCCAAAAATCCCTATTTTGAGTATGGAAAGGTATCGTGAAGGTTTCGGGAACCTGGGAATAATCCATCCTGACTCTAGTGGCAGCTTGGTGACATCATTAGATTTCAATTTGTTCTTCTCCTTTTTAATTCATGCAACTAATTAACTGCTCTGCCTCGTTGTTAAGTAAATAAGTAAGATCCTAAGCTCTTTTCAGCCCAGAGCTCCCCTGGGACCCTTGGGAAGAAGGAGGATGGGCACAGCCCACAGGCAGGAAGAGCAAAGCCTGAACTCTCCGTATCAGAGACATAAAGAAATAACTAAAGCCAGGGCACCATCTGGTGTTTGCCCAGCTTCCAGCACTTCTCCCTGCACCCAAACCATGCTGGTTTGGCTGGGCACTGCCAAGGAGGTGCGGGGGGGACATGGGTGGAGGGTGGGTGCCCTCCACTGCATCTGCTGTGGCACCTGTGTCCAGGTGGGATGCAGATAGGGACACAGTCAGGGAACTGTGGCATTGTCCGGGTTGGAAATGCCCTCTGAGACCACGTTACAACCCGCCCCAGGAACGGGGGGGTAACCCAGGTTCTTATTAATAAATCCCTTGGGGTGGATTAGGGTGAGATAATAAACACTGAATAATCAGTGTCTGAAAACGTACCTAGGTTTGAAAACGTATCTATGTCTAAAATAAACGTATCTATAGAAACATATTTATGTTTATTTTAGAACAGTTTTGTTTCAAAGGTAAACAGGTATGTTGCCGTTTTGGGGGCTATCACCTGCATCTCTCATCTGCAGCAATACAGCATGAAGATATAACCTTTAGGGAAATGCACAAAGGAGAGAAAGGAAAGGCAGGAGAAGGGTAAGGAAAGATGAGAGTGGAAAGATGTACACGGTCACCGCCCACGGGCTCCAGCGATGGAACTCGGCAGTTGCAGCTTCCCTGTCTGTCACTTGAAGTGGTGGCCGTGATCCGCTGGGGGTGGGGAGGGAAGCCCCCACACCCAGAGAACTTGGGAGTTGTTACATCCATGGACAGTGTCTCGGAGTTCTGGGAAATGGGCACAGGAAAAGGGTTTCTCTCTTTCAGGATTGGCAGGGGGATGGGCTTTGATGGGCAAAAAGCCGCCTCTTCCCAGCCTGCAAAGTCCCCTGGTGATGCTAGAATGCCTAAATCATTAACCCCTTCATCTCTGACAGATGGTCACCTCACAAACAGGGACACGGACAAGGCAGAGATGTTGGACACTTTCTTTGCCTCTGTCTTGAACACAACGATGGGCAAAGGGGGGGGACAGTGAGGAAGAAAAACTCTGAGCCTGTGCAGGATCTGCTGCTCAAGTGGGATCCCTATAAATCTAAGGGCCCTGATGGGATTCATCAGAGACTACTCCAAGAGCTGCCCATGTCCCCACGAGGCCTCTCCGTGGCTCTTGAATGGGCTTGGGAATGTGGAGAGGCCCCAGCTGACTGGGAGCTGGGGAACATTGTCCCAGTTTTCAAGATGGGCAGGAAGGATGACCCTGGGAACTCCAGGCCTGTCAGTGTCCCTTCAGTGCCTGGTAAAACTGTGGAGAAGGTTGTTCTGGGAGTTCCTGACAAACCCCTGAAGGACAAGGCAGTCACTGGTCACAGCCAGCACAGGGTCCTGAGGGGAATGTGCTGCTCGTCAAACTGAATATCCTTTTCCTGCCCAATAACCCACGAAGCTGATCAAGGGAAGCCAGCTGATGGAATCCTTTTGGATTTCAGGAAAGCTTTGGGTCTCTCCCAAGATCCTTGTGGGTCCCTTCCCACTGAGGCCATTCTGTGATTCCATGATTCTCACCCTAATGGAGCTGCTGCTCTCACTGGACTCCTGCCTTTACACCTTTGGGGTTTTTTACACCGTCCCACAAACCTGAGGAGTGTCTCTGTCTCCCTTCACTTGGATCCTGGAGAGATTGATTCCATGCACAAACCCTTGCCCTGCCCTCAGCTTCCATCCCACCAGGGCCACCGGACTCTTAGCAACACAGGGATCGATCCCAGGGGTTGGCACTGGGCTCCTGGAGCCCTGCAGAGCCTCGAGTGTCAGCTTTGCCTCTCAGGCCAGTGCAGATTGAGGCACTCTGTGCCCTGGCCGTGGGCACAAACACAAGCTGGGATGAGAATGGATGGAGGGCAGCCCTGGGGAGAAGGACCAGCCCTGGGAACATCTCCGTGGCCTCCTCTGGACTGTCTCCAGCAGCTCCACGTCCTTGTGCTGCTGTTCCCCAGGGCTGGGGCAGCTCTGCAGGGGGGTCTCAGCTGAGGGGGCAGAGGGGCAGGATCCCCCCAACCCTGCTGCCCACGATCCCTGTTGGATTAGCCCAGGGCACGGGGGGTTCTGGGGGCCAGAGCACACGGCCCGAGCACGTCCAGCCTCTCACCCTCCAGCACCCCCAAGTCCTTCTCACCAGGGCTGCTCTCCATCCATTCCACTCCCAGACTGGGTTTGTGTCTGGAATTGCCCCGATCCAGGAGGAGCACAAATGATTTCAGCAACGCTGCTGAAGGTCTAATGACAGCAACACAGACCGACAGTGCTAAACTACGCCAGGGTCTGAGCTGGTCGAGTGCTGAGGGGATGGAGCTGAGGGGATGGACGGAGGGATGGCTGCGGGTGGCAGCGGTGAGGGGACGGTTCTGAGGGCGGGCTGTGTCTGTGAGCTGTGAGGGGACGGTTCTGAAGGCGGGCTGTGTCTGTGAGGGATGAGGGGACGGTTGTCGAGGGCGGGCTGTGTCTGTGAGGGATGAGGGGACGGTTCTGAGGGCGGGCTGTGTCTGTGAGGGGACGGTTCTGAGGGCGGGCTGTGTCTGTGAGGGATGAGGGGACGGTTCTGAAGGCGGGCTGTGACTCTCAGGCGGCCCCGATCCCCTCAGCGGGGCCGTTGGAGCGCGGCCGGGGCTGAGGCGGCCCCGCCGGCCCTGGAGCCGCCCGGCCCCGCCGGGACCCCCCGCCCGCCGGCCCGGCACAGGTGGGAGCTCGGGGGCGCCGGGCCGGGCCCGGGGGGAGCGTCCAGCGGGGGCCGGGCCGCGGGGAGCGGGGGGAGCCCCGGCGCGCAGCGGCCCCGGGCAGTGCGGGCAGCGGGGCTGGGCCGGGCCGGGCTGCGCTCTGCTCCGGAACAGCGGCTGCTGGGACAGCCGTGAGCGGCTCCAGCGCTTGGGATCAGCGGCTGCTGGGACAGCCGTGAGCGGCTCCAGCGCTTGGGATCAGCGGCTGCTGGGACAGCCGTGAGCGGCTCCAGCGCTTCGGGATCAGCGGGAGACACCACCAGGGCAAAAGCAGCACCGCGCTGTGTCTGCAGAACACGGGGCATGTGAGGGGGCTGCTGGGACACGGCATTCTCCGCGGGGGGCATCGCAAAGGCTTTTGCTCCGCAGCCAGGCCAAGGGCAAGAGCAGCTCGTGGTGGGGCTGAGAGCTGGAGGGGAGTGCAGCGGGCCCAGGCACTGATCAGGGACGGCTGCCCTGGACACACGCAGGGCCCCTCAGGAGCTGGAGTTACAGCCCTGCCCTCAGCGGGCCCTGCCCCTGCCCAGGTGGTATCTGCTGCTGGCAACAGAAAGGACTCCCTCTGCCAGTTCCTGCAGTGACACTCTTTATTAGCAGGCACGGGGACAGGTTAATAAGGTTCGTGGTCGTTGGCTGCAAAAGCGTGTTTTAAAGCAATTTACGGACGAAGCAAGGCCAAGGTGGAACACGAAGCAATCTGCCAACATACTCTGGGGGGAGCCCAAACAAAGCTCCAGTCCTTAAAGCAGCATTTAACCTGCAGAGTGTATTTCTTACCCCACAGGCGTCCCGGGGGGGCAGGTTCAACCCCTCAACTGATCCCAGCAGGTTTGGTGGAGCCTTCCTCAGTTTTCCCCCTATCCCCAACTTACTTTTATACTGATTCTTTGTGTTTAGGTGGAGCTTGAGAGGCTTCAGTCGTAATTACCGTTTGTTTCTGGTTGGTGTAAAGTTGTCTTGCCAAGTTCTCGTGGCTTGGCACCTGAGGAGGGGGTTCGACGTGGTGGTTGGCTCCGCAGCAGAACTCCTGGATTCTCCCTGGGCTGACAGGTACTGTAGGGTCCCCTGATCTTCCCAGTACCACACTGTTCCCCCTTCCTGCTGGGATTTCAGTGCTGCAGCAAAGCTGGGCTTTGGTCACTGCCCCTCATTTCCTCGGAGCAGCTCATCCAGCCGGTGCTTTCCAGTGCTGCCTTTGCTCTTCCCCTGGCACTTGTGCTCCATCTTGGCCATGGGACTGAGCAGCTCAGGGAGGGTTTTCCTTTTGCTCAAGGACAAAGCAGAGGGAAATGTTTATGGCAGGAAGGGAAGAGGATTCTGGCTGATCAGGAAGCGAGGGAGTTTCTGAGTGACGGCCGGAGTGAGGCGCCTCATTTCACCCGGTTTGTGAGCAGCTGGATACCATTGGCTTCATGTGGCTTGAGAGCATAAGCATTGAGACAGCATTTGCTGGACAGCCTTGCACTCTGCTCTTCTAAACTGCAAAGCTGTGGAGGTTCTTCCTTCCCATCGACGTGGCCTAAGGCTTGTCCAGCTCAGCAAGTGCTTCCTCCTTGGTAATTCTCTGCCAGGCCTCAGGGATTGCTCCTCTGCCTTGGAATTTCTTCCCGTGCAGGGTTTCTAGATCTGTCCTGAAATGAGACACAAACCATTTCCAGTAGGCTTGGGTGGATGAATCAGGAAGAATCTTCCAGTTGGAGAAAGGAGGTCCTGCATCCCGGTATCTCTTGTAGAAATATCTTTCGTTGTTCCACACGAGGAATTTATCATTACTTGCAACACTGGTAGAACAAATGTTAATGCACAGCTCTTCTGTTCCCTTGAACCACCATCCAGTCAAGGCGTTTGGTCGATGGAAGAGAAGCTGATGGTCCCCATCGTGTCCCCGCATGGTGTTTGTGCAGACAGCCCCACAAAAGGGACACTGCTCCCAGCACCCCGAAAACTGCTCCGCCAGGATGCTGTGAGGCTTCCTTTCAAACCAGCTCAGATCAGCATCAAGAAATTCTCCCCTGAGCTCTTCCTTCATGGCAGGCAGTGCTTCTGCCATGGCTTTGCTCAGGAACTCGATGTCTGTGATCTCCTGGTGCTCGAGGCTCTTCAGGTCACTTCTGGGCAAGTTGATCACCTCTGTCAGTTCCCTGCAAAATTCAGCCAGCCAGAGAGAGGTTTTGTCCTCTCTGTCTTTTCTGTCTTTGACTGTTTGGGTTGATGAAGAAACAGCTGACAGGAGGTTTTCATAGAGAAGATCAAGGGAGGAGTCTAAAAACCTGTCCAGCCTCCGGCTCTCACCTAAACAGTAACTCTCAACGCGTTTCTCAATGTACCACTGAAAAAACTCTTCTGGGTCTTCAAGGTACTGCTTGAAATACCGAAAGTTTTCTTCTTGTGCCAGGAATCTCAGGATACAAACATCCAGATTGGCTCTGTTGCCCTGGAAATCTGGGACTTTCCCCTGCATGTCTCCAGCGATGGCTTTGGCCGTCCTCTCCCAGACGGCGCGGCGAAGAGCTGGACGAAGCTTGTCACAGAGGAAAACAGCAAAAGCTGTGACAGAAGTGGCTCCTTGGCAGGACATCTGGAAACATGTGAAGAAATCTTCTCTCTTGCTCTTCAGGTATGTGACCGGGTCGTTTGCCTTCTGGAACGCTTTGTGCATGGCTTTAAACCTTTCTGCTGCCATTCTGCACAGGTACAGAGACAAATCTATGGTGTAATCTTTGTTAACCTTAAATGAGGCATCGCTGGGGATGGAGTCCACACCCTCCTGTACTTCACGGAGTATTTCATGAATAAAGGTTCGACTGTAATCCCGTTTCTCCTGTTCCTTCTGGTCAATGTTTTGCATCACACGCTTTATGATCTTGTCTGTGATGTCCTGCAAATTCACATCAGCACTGAAAAAATTCCATGGGAGGTATTTTTTCCAATCCTTTTTCTTTGTGATATGTTTCTTCAAGTCCAAGGGAAATTGTCTGTGTTTGGGAAATGACCTGATCCGATATTGGAAACCAGGCTCCTTAAAATGCTCCAGAAGGACATTTTCTATTTCTGCATCGATATCCACCCATTCCATTGGGGGAGCAGCACGGGTGACTTCAGCAATCCACTCGGCCCAGAGAGAAGTAAAGCTGTCTCTCAGCTGTGCCTCACTGAGGCTGTCACCTTTCAGAGTCAGAGCCAACTCCCTGCTCCTTCTCAGGAGCTCGTCTTCATATTCCAACTTCCTTGCATCCAGTTTATTCTGGGTCTTCTGCAGTTCAATGAGATTCTTACATTTCTTTTGAGTTTCAAGAAGAAGATTCTCCTTTAGTTCTTTCAGCTTCAGCTCTGTGCTGCCCTTCCACTGGACCAGCATCTCACGGTCTTTCTCGTCCCTGAAATACTTTTCCATGTCTGTCACGACGGCATCACTTGTCTCTTGCACGAGCCCTTCAAGGTGTGCTCTGGTGACTTCCTGCAAATCCCCGTTCCGAATTCTGTTGTCGAGTCTCATTTGTACCTCTAAGATGTGACTCCTCAGCCTCCAGGTCCACTGACTAAAGGCAGTTTCCAGTTTCCTGTACACAGCAATCTCCAGTGAATTCTTGAAGCTGAAAACAAAGTTCTCGTTCAGCAAAGCATTCCAGAGGTCCCCGATACGGACCTTCAGGCTGGAGAGCCTCAAAACTCTGCCTTGTGACTCCTTGGCAGCCTGGAGAACTTTGCTCTTGAGCTGCTGGACGTTGTGGCTGTAGGTGGGGTTGGGTGGTGCCATTGGGGGGTTTCCTTCCCACAGGTGAGCGAAGTAGTGAATGTGGGTGTTCACGTCAAAGCGGATGACGTCGCTGAAGGAGGAGACGTCACAGGATTCCTGCTGGGCAGCTGCCACGGTCATTTCATCCAGCTTCTCCTGCAAACGTCTTTGTCCTTCCATGTTCTGCTCCTTGGCAGTAACTTCTCCCACGTTTTGGTGGACAAAGAGGCAGCTGGGGGAAAGATTTACTTTCTTCATCCTCAGGAAGGCCTGCACGGCGATCTGAAGAACGTCCTGCATTTCTGAGGGATTTTCCCCGAAGATGTTGATCAGGGTCACGTTGCCGATGCCGATGACAAAGGTGGCCAGCTCGTTGTCGTGATTCAGGGAGTGTTTATTGGCCATCTCTATGGCACGAAGCCCCTCCGTGTCAACAACCAGCATGTAGTCAAAGCCCACGTCCCGCTGCAGCTGCTCGTCCAGTGGAAGGAGCTGCATGAACGCTCCGCGGGTGCATCTCCCGGCGCTGACGTTGAACTGCAGCCCAAACATGGCATTCAGCAGGGTTGACTTCCCTGTGCTCTGGAGGCCGAGCACGGAGAGAACAAACACTCGTTTGTCCCCCAGCCTCTCGATTAGGCTGTCAAAGATTGCTCCCACCCAGCGCAGGGGCAGGTAAGAAGCGTCCCCATCCAACAGCTCCACGGGATACCCCGAAACCATCAGATCTGCTGCCATTTTGGGCAGTTTGACAACATTTTCATTCTTTGAGCTTGTTGCTTCCAGAACTTCATAGATCTGCCCTACCTCTCTCAAAAGGTGCTCCAGGCCAATGGATGAATCGTTGATTTCATCAGAGAGGGCATCCAATCTACACAGCAACTCAGGGTTCAGACTGGTTTTTTCCTTGCTTTTCTTTTTTTCCAGGATTTCAGACCATAACTTGTGATAGTCTCTCCTCAGTTCTTCAAGGCGACCGGAGGACAGGTCATCCATAAAGACTTTCATCCAGTGCAGGAAGTATTTCTTGGTATCTGCTGGCTGTGACTGGAGAAAGCCAAGGAATGATTTCATCAGCCGATTGAGGGGGAAAGCTTGTTCTTGTTGCTTTCTTCTTATTGCTGCCTTGTCTGATTCAATTTGGCTCCGATGGTGCTCGATGCTCCTGTCCCCCTTCTCCTGCAAGCGAGTGAGTTCTTTGTCCTTTTTGCACCACTGATGCCACAG